AATAAAAAATTTAGTTGAGTTTAAATTACAGTAAAAAGTATAATTAAATACTGATAATCAATAAAAATAACTTACAAGCTAATATTTTTTTAAATAAAAATATAGTTGAGGTTAAATTACAGTAAAAAGTATAATTAATACTAATAATCAATAAAAATAACTTACCATCTATTATATTATTAATTATTAATTATTTTTTAAATAAAAAATTTAGTTAGTTTAAATTAGAGTAAAAAGTATAATTAAATACTAATAATCAATAAAAATAACTTACTTTCTTTAGTAGTTTTTTTTTGATTTTAAATAATAAATTTAGATGTTATTAACAAAAAAAAGTATATTAAAATAATTATTATTATGAATTAAAGTAAAATAAAATTATAATTAATTATTTAAATAAATAAAACTTACGATCTATAATATTTTAAGTAAAGTAAAATTTAAAATTTTTATAAAAATATAATTATACAATATATAAAATATAAAAATAACTTACCAACTAAAATGAAATTACAAAACTTTTAATAAATAAATTATGTTTAAATTGCAATATAGAAAAATTAACAATAACTTACTCCCTGCGTTATTAAATAATGATTAATTAAAAAGTTTAATTATATAATAAGTTAAGATATATAAAAAATTAAATAACTTACAAGCTATAAAATGAAAATTTTAATTAATAAAGAAATATTAGCAAATATATAAATGCTCATTAAAATTCATGTTGCTAATGATATATTCCATTACCATTAAAATCTTTGCTGAAAATTTGATATTTTTTTAATTAGAAAATAATTATTAAATTTAATCCTTAACATAAAACATTATACTCAACTAATTAACTACTTCACAGGCATTTAACGTCCATGTATCGTTTGCTTTGATTTCTAGTAATTTGTTTAAATCTGCAAGTGATTCCTCATATTTTTTCATTATGCTAAAAGTTTCTCCTCGATATCTTAATGCAAATGTATTATTTGCCTCAAACTCCAGCAACTTTATCAAATCTGTAAGTGCTGGTTCATATTCACCTATAATAAAATAAAATTTTCCTCGGTATTTTAGTACGTGTTCAACATCTGTAAATTGCTTTAAATCTGCAAATTTAATAATCTGTTGACTTATTAATTTGTCATTATATGGATTAAGAATATCAGCCCAATTCTCCTTTAAAGATTCATCAATATCATCATCATTCATCACTAAAAAATAATTAATATTAATATAGAAAATAAAAAAAAATAAACTAAATAAGTATACCTGTGTATTTGAACTTTCTATAGCCAAAGTTTGCTCCTACAGAACCACCTGGTGACATCATTCCAACACAAGGATACAAAGCTTTTTTCAAATCTCGAAATGCAATACCTTAAATATACAATAGAAATTAAATTTCTATTATTAACTTAAAATAACCACGAATTTGTAATATACCTACCTAGATTCACTCCGTTTCTTGTATAAAATACCGTATTATTTCTAAAGTTTAAGCAACATCCGATGGTATCACCGGTCATAAATTTTGGTCCAAACGGTTTGCCTTTACTGTTAAAAAATATTTGTCCATCATCACCATGATATCCACATGAGCTATCTTCCCAACCTACAATAAATAATTTAATAATAATTTTATTTAACAAATTAAGCTGATAAAGAATAAAATTACCTGGCATTTTATTTAGGCTAGCTGATTTTGTGCAAAACCCGATTCCAATCTCCCTATGGAATGAAATATTGAATTATCGGCAATTTTAAACAATCAACTGTATTTCAAAGTTTTACAACATACCCATTTTCCCCTTTATCTATAATGTCAACTTCAAAATAAAATAATGCACATTGTTCAGGAATTGGAAAATTTGCTCTAATTGCAGCACAGTTTTCTTCTCCACCTAGATCTTTATATTTGAAAATAATTGTAGTTATGCAAGAATAAGTAAAATTATAAATGTTAAAAAACGTGAAATGTAATAAACTCACCGTTATAAGTCACTATAAGCTTGTCAGAAATAAATTTTAAAAGATTACGTCCATCTTTAATATCCCATGCGGTTGGTGACACTATTAGAAAGAATGAAATGATAATAGAGTTTGTTTAATGTATGCTTTTTAAATATGTTGCGAGGTTAATTAATTATTTTTATTTTTATTTTATTTTTATTTTTTTTTTAAAAAAAAAAACAGAACAATCTAAGTATCAATTTTATTTTATTTTTTTTTTTAATATAAAAAAAAAAAATAATAAATCAAAGTATTATTATTTGATTTAAAAACAAATAAATGTTAATGAACCTTGATAAAATTCAAATTAATTAACTGATATAATCATAATCTAGTATAAATGTTCTTGATAGGACCGCTTAACATCCTACTTCATACCTTTTTTATGTTTGGTGAAAATATTTTTTATTTTTTTCATTACACTTTTATCTTTATTGTTATAAATTATAAGAAAAAAATTGTTTTCAAAGAAAAAAGAATGTATGTAATGTGCGACACATATTGAAGATCTTATGTTACTGCGAAAACTAGTATGGGTAAGGCGGGTGTTACGAACGGTAATTGCTCTAGTTATGTAATTATTTATAACATAACGTGTCACACAGTCGTGATTTTGTGAACCGTTCAAAAGGAATAAAAATCGGCATTAAATCTTCACGACATAATAATAATACCCTGAATTTCTTGATATAAAAAAGATATTTTAAACTAATGTCTTCTGAAATACCTATTAAAGTCCAAGGTTAGAATAGATATTATATAGCCATTAGTCATGATGGAAAATATGCTGTCACGTTCGATGCAGGTAAGCGGTAGTGTAACCTCATGTTAAAAAAATTTTCATACCATTTTTTTAATTTAGCATTAAATTTAAAAAATAACGGTTATCGCGAATTTATTACCTCTAAGAAAAAAAGATAGTTCTGAACAGGATGTTTCCAATGAAATCAAATGCTCATGCCATGTTGATGAAAATACTTCCAACAAAAGAATAATTACAAATATTATGACCAGAATGATTCTAATGAAATCAATGAAACTAATGATAATAACTTCAAGGAGCAAAACGAAAGTTC